ACACCTTTTATTTAGCCAAAAGGCATCTCAAGTGTCTATAACTCAGCCCACGGAGATTTGGATTTCTCTGCCAACTCCAATGACCTCCAAGGAATTTTAAGCATTGTCTGTAGTTGGTGACATTCTCCTTTTTTTTTTAACTGTGTTAACAGTATCTTTAATTCTCAAGAGTTGGTTTTCATTCTTGAAGGACTCTAACAAATGTTCACAATTTTACATTATAAAACAAAATGGTTACATTACAATTTTACATAACACCAGTCTCTCTGTAAGACAAGTCAAGAGAACAACAAAATAACCCACACCAAAGCAAACCCTAGCAACTATTAAATGCAGATCCACGGGCAGAGTGAGCAAGAGGAAGAAAGAGTTAGTGCAAGTAGGTGCAATTAACAATAAAGTTTGGCACGGTGGCTCAGGATAGACTGGATATGGAAGCAACAATTCTGACTCACAATGAACCTACAGGTAGAGTTGCCGGCAGGGTGGCTGGGGCAATAATAGATTTTTACAAAAGCAGCCTGCCACATGTTTCTTCTGTGCAGTGATTGGTGGGTTTGAACTAGCAACCTTCAGTTTAGCAGCTCAATGCTGGACCCACTGTGCCACCTTGGCTCCTTGGAAAGGGGATGCTACAGAGGAAATCACTCTGGATTCTCAATGAAACTAAAGAGCTCTTCCAAACCTTCTCCAAACAAACTCATGGTAGTCAAATTCACATATTAATAAAAACTTTATTTAAAATGAACTGTTGAATGGGAAACTGATTTGCTCTGTAACTCTTCACTTAATTCAAAACTAAAAAAAAAAGTTTTTTTCGTTTGTTTTTTAAGTGAGGCCATGGGGCTTCTTTTGAATGTCAGCATAGGGTGGGAATGCAGTAAAAGGTTGAATTTGAGGCAATGTAGAATATACCAGCTCATCCAGACTGCTTGATAGTGAACTTCACAATCTGAACCGATACTTAAAATTTACTACAGTTCTTGGAGTTGTATTTCATTATTTCTTTCCCCTCCTCTCCTTCCTTTTCATTCTTCAGCAAAAGAGGCTAACATGGGAGTGGAATCAAACATAATGGCTAACAAAACCACAGCCTAAGGAAAAGAAGAACCACTGTGGGATCTGCCAGTAAAAATGTTCCTTCTCTTCAGGGTTGGCTAAACAACCCAAATGTTTCTAATGAACTCCTGGCAGGTCACCAACTGAGCAGTTTTACATCTCCCCAAACTCATGGCCGCCATTTAGCTGTGACAGACACAGAGAATTTACAATCATAAATGCTAGGAATGGGTGTGCGTGTGTGTGTGTGCGCGTGTGCGTGCATGCACGCACACATGCGTGAGTGTAATCCCTCAAAACTATTAGGTCATTCCTTTGTTAACTAGGTCAGGATTATACCAGAAACCTAGACTCTTCTTGTCCTTTTTCTGGGTGAAGACGGTTCCTTCTTTCAGAGTCAGCATTCACAAGCATGCATGTGTTAGCTACCGTACATTGTATCCTTTATTTTCCCTACATTCCAACTTCTTTGACAATACTAAACAAGGCTCTTTACTTCTTCAAGTGTCACTGATTAAACAACTTGAATCTTTTTAAAATGGTAAATCCTGTCATGAAAATACACAGTGAAGACTGGTTGTCAATGCCAACGGCCACAGGTAGGATATTGTCTTAATCCTTCTACATTTTACTTAAATAGGTTTCTGTTTTTCCACAAATCATCAGCAGGAAATACTTAATAGCAAGCTAATAATAGTTAATGATTAAGTGCTTACTATGACAGGAACTGTTATCAATTCTATGTGTTAACTCATTTTCTTACTTAATTCTCACAGAAACCTTTGAGACAATTATTATCCTCCTTTGACAAAGGAGGAGCGCGAGGCACGGTGAGGTTAAGTAACTCGCCGAGGGCACAGTGCTACTGAGTGCCAGAGTCAGAATCCAGACGCAGGCTCTCCTATCCCAGCGACATGTTCTACCCCATACACTGAGTAATTCCAGACAGATATTATGTAGAACCACTTGGAGACAACAAACCATCAAGCAAATTGACAACAGAATAAATCAATTCTGAGGAAAGTTGTATAAATTGAGGCTTGCACTCCAGCCCAGCCCAGATAATGAACAAAACTTGTTCAACATATGGAGAGAGGAAGAGTCCAGAATAGAGAAGAAAAACTCTTGCAATGATCAGCTATTTAGTTAGAAGAAATTGAAAGTTTACTCCATCGGTACCCACAATATTTCACTCACAATCACAGTTAAGTTAATCATCTAGTTTTTAATCAATGCTTCACCAGTCAATATTTTATATTTCTATGCCAAACTGTCATAAAATGACTAATAACAATCATCATCATCATCATCATCATCATCATCATCATCATCATCATCCCAGGGGTTTTAATTCCCTGTTCTAAGTGGAAAGAACAGGATACCAAAAGCTGCTCCCCACTCAAGGTGCACCCATGGAGGTTGGTCTGCAAAGCAACACAAGCACGAGACAGGACGTGTGCAAAACCAACTCTCCCAGCAGATGTTTGGACAGAGGAACAGTCCTCGCGTGTTGGGATAATTTATTAAAAGGCAATCCATTAAAGACACACTCTACCAAGGTATGAAAATGAAAGGTGACACAAGGGCAAAATTCAAGTTCAAATTAAAGTAGAACTGTTTTTTAAAAATTTAAGATGTTACAATCTGTATGACATAAAAATGCCTAACAACATCATGATGCCACAGTAAAACATCCCGAACAAATACAGATGGTTTAAGAGGTAAGTCATCTAGTAGAGCCACGTTTCTGTACATCCAGAATCTTTATATAGTATTTGTTTTTAGAAATTCTGTACCATTTATAAATTTCTAGACATATTTGAATTGTTTACCCAATTTCTTACCCTGTGTTTTTTATTTTACCAACATTTTTTTTTTTAGAAATGTACTGCACAACCTGGGTTGTAAGGAAAGTTTGTAATAACAATTTAAGACTGTGGCACATAAAACTCTTATGAAATTTTCATGTCATGCTTTGAAGCGGAGTATTCTTTAAAAAAATCCTGTGATGTCTTCTCAGAGTTCTCACAATAAAGGAAAATTGATATAAACACCACACCACTGCTTGGTTACAAAAGGCAATTTGAACTGAGGGGGAAGATCTGATACAGAAAGTCAAGATCAACTTATAGCCTATTGCTTCAACAAGGCCCACGTCTGCTATGTGTATCATCTCCTCCACTACCATTCTCAATTTCCCTCTTCTCAACCTCATCACCTTCCTGGTTCTAAAAAGTGTTGAGACCTCGTCACATCCAGTGATTTTACTCTCTCCTTCTCAAGAGTTACCCCTCTAGTTTACTTCCAAAACAGCAAACTTTGGATTCCTGTCTCTACACCTTTCCCACTGATTTATTTCTAAAGAACATATTCACAAACTTTTTTCTGATGATACTCAGAACCCCAACCCTCCCCATTCTCCCAGAATAGAAACATTTCTGGAATCACTGAACGAATCACTTCTAAGAGAAGACCTTTCAAAATGCGTTTCTAAAAGGGCAGATTCTCTCAACCTCTCACGGGGGCCTAATAATCCATAAAGGAAGGTGACACTCCCAAGGGCTTCCTCACTTCAACTCCGGGTTCCTGTCACAAAATCAAAATAGTCATGAAAATTGTATGCGAAGGTATCACTCCAAGTTATCAAGACAGGCTCCACTGTTACTATATAATTCGGGTATTCAATATTACTCCAAGTAGCAGAAAAAGGAGAGGCGGCGTTAGCTTCAAGTACTAACCAGGAGGAGAAAAACTGCCGACACCTCAGAACCAAGGTCTAAGACTGTACTTCTGCAGAAAAGCAGGAATGAAAATGAACTAGCAGGAGTAATTGATTAGATGAGAGAAAACTGATTATTGCAGAGATGGGGGGGTTGTATTAGAATATATGATAAAGAAACTAACATCCGCCTTATAAGATGAAAGACTATCTCCTCTGAGACAGAGAAGACAACAAAAACATAAATAGCTCAAAGTCAGAAAAGGTAAGTGAGAAATGCTAGACAGACTTGGGCTCAGTAAAAGGTAGAAACATTGTTAGCTAAGAGGGAGTGTGGCTCAGTAAAGGGTAGAAACATTGTTAG